AATAAACAGCCTGCTCCATGCAGCAACACCTGCAGATCCAGATAGCTCTGGAAACCACCAGACTTCCTCTGCCCCAGAACAAAAGACTTCCCCCACTCCCAGACCAGGGCTCAGTTCAGTATCTAGAATTCTGGCCTAGTCTTCTCTTTCTCCAAGCAGGGACTGTAAGCAGAATTGGCTCTTCATCCCCAAGGAGCACCTTCTAGTCCTCAGGAAGACTAAGCCCTAAGCTCTTAGGAAGACTAAGACTTAGCATCTGCCCCAAACCTTCCCTCCCACCCTTTGCCATTGCCAGGTCACCCCTTGGGTTCAGTGTCTCCTGAGGCCTAAGGGAAGCAGTGGGGAAGTGGGGGAGAGGCTATGGGACAGGGATGTGTCCAGTCCAGGAGGGCGCCTTGCACAAGAATTTCTGATGCAACCCGGTGGACACTGTGACAGTTTTTCTCAGAAAAGGAAGGGCTGGGAAGGGGCCTGGACTGAATTCATATAATCTTTTCCTCCCCTGGCCTCTAGTGGCCTCAGGACCTGCAGGAAGCAGGCCCGAAGGAAGGAAGGTAGACCAGGGGTCAGATGACTCAGCAACAACTCCAGTCTTGGGAGCAGCTAGATTTGAGGCTCCCTCTCCTTCTCAGTTGGAAAATAAGGAAGAGAATCAGGATCCCTGGAGGTTTGGAGATTCCCCTTGTTGGTTCCTAGAAGGCAAGCCCTAACTGCCAACAAGATATCTAATTAACTTACTTATCTACAATACTCCCACCACAGGGAGGATATGACCCCTAGCCCTGGAAGAGGGTGCAAGGAACCCACAAACCTTCCCTGTCTCCTTGAGGGTCCTGAAATAGTGGATCAACAGGGGCGTGGGAACCACATAGACCCAGTTTGCTGTGCAACCCCAGGCAGATTATGTCTGCTCTGACACTCAATTTGCTTGCCTGTAACCTGAGCAGAAATCCACCCTCAGCTCACAGGGCTGTGCTGAGGATCAGGTGAGCATGTGGAGGGGCAAGGCTAATCCTGTCAGGGGGACGACATGTCTATGTCAGCCATCAGGGCTGTGTGTGCTCAAATCTGCAGTGGGTCTCACATGTCACCTGCCTCCCTGTGTCCTAGAAGAACAGGTGGCACAGGCAGTGCACAAGAGGCCACAGGAGTTTGAATCAGATACCTGGCTCTGAGCCCCACCAGTCTCCCGTCCCTCTTGGCCACTGATGGTGCTTCTGTGAGCCCTGGTTTGTTCATCAGTCTCCGGAGATCAAAGCAGCAACTCTTGGTGAGGTGAGAGGATGACGTGAGGTGACGTAAGGGCTGCGTAAGGGAAGCCCCACACCCGCACATGGGCCCCAGCACCACATTCCTCATGGAGAATCCCAGGCTGCCTGGGCCTCCCTGCTGCACCAGGCACAGCCTGGCCACTGGTCTGGGGGACTAAGATCCCTGCGAAGCCCAGGGGTGATTCCAGAGCAGGTCTCCCCAGGAGGATCACAGGTCCTGCTGCAACTCAGGAATCACCAGTCTCCTTCCCTGCATTTCCCATTATCCTTTGCTCTGTTTGTATTATTAGCTCCACCCTTTCCCTTCAAACCAGCTCATTAAAAAAAAGCGAAAAAAAACTTAGGTACATTATTTAAGATGGGAATTTAAAAAAAAAAAAAAAAAGATGGAAATTTCAAGCCACTAACCGTTTCCCATAAAGAAGAGGTAACCAAGGGCCGGGGATTTAGCTCAGTGGTTCCAGCGCCTGCCTTGCAAGCACAAGGTCCAGAGTTTGATCCCCGGTACCAAACAAATACCTAGTTTGATCCCCGGTAGCACAAAAAAGAAGAGGTAACCATAAAATTAAACACAAGGAAGCAAAACAAGATTATGCAACGCTAGCTCAATCCTGTTTCCAGGTGCTCTGATCTCACCTGGGCAAGGGAGGCACTAAAACCCTAGAACCAGTTTAGATAAATGAGGCTTTCTCCCCAAGTCACTAGAGGGACAGAAAGAAAATCAGAAGGGGATCCATAAACCAGGACAAGGTTCAGTGTTCTGTCACAGTCTCAGGATCCTCAGGCCCTCTGCACTCCACCAGTACTGGACATAGTACACTTTGGAAAACAATGACTTAATCCAATTCTTCCTGTTTTATTTCCCCTCCAGTTTTGGGGATTGAACTCAAAGATAAACAAGCTGGACACTGTGGTGCACACATGTAATCCCAGCTATTGGGAGGCTGAGGCAGAAGGATTTCAAGTTCCAGGTCAGCCTGGGGAATTTAATGAGACTCTGTTTCAAAATAAAAAATAAAAAAGCCAGGTGTGGTGGTGCATGCCTGTAACCCTTGCACTTGGGAAACTGAGGCAGCTTGGGCTACATAGCAAGTCCAAGGCCAACCTACTATGTAGCCACACTCCTAAACAAACAAATGAATAAATAAGGCTGGAAATGTAGCTTAGTAGTAGAGTGTCCTTGGGATTGAACCCCAGCCCCTACCCCATTCACACACAAAGATAAGTTTAGGGTGAAGTAGTGATTCAGTTAGGTCACCCAGGGAGTATAAGATTGGGGCAGGCTGACAGGGTGACTCTCCAGTGACCATTCCCACAAGTCCATGTGGAAGCTGCTGGGTTGCCAAAATTGTGAGGTGTTCGGGGACCTTGTGGGCATTGGTGTCAGCTGCCCCAGCCTGAAATTTAAAATCAGCCAAGCTGAGTGGTTTTAGGTGACCCCTTCACTTTGACTCCTCTGATCTGTAGAATGGAGATGACTCCCTAAGTGTCTCATGTTCCTGCCTCAGGGCCTTTGCACTTAACCATCTTCTCTGCCTATTTCTCACATCTTTGTACTGCTCACTCTGTTTTATTCACCCCTTCTTTTCCTTGAAATCTAGAATATTCCCTTTCTGATGAGCTGTAGTGAAAATAGCTACTCTCAATCATGACCCAAAACAAATCCATTCCCTTGTATCTTCTCTTTCATGTCAAGAAAATGCATCCCACACTACTGCTTTTATAATTGTCATGCCTGGCCTAAGTGAGACCTTCACAAGCAAACAGGCCAAGCAAACAGGCTGCTCTCAGCAAACAACAGGCTACTTCTCAGTAAACAGAAGAGAATCTCCCTGAGCTGAGAAGTCCAGTGATTGTCTATACACCTGTGCTGGCCATCCTTGTACTCTGTCATAAATATTTGTTATGAGCATAAATCCCCTTTTCAATACCAAAGCCTAATTCCCTTCCCAGTTAGCTGCTAATATCTCTCTCCTAGTGTTAGCCCATTAACACACGAATAAAATCTCTTCCAGCTAGCTACTGCTATTTCTCTCTCCCAATGTCGGCCCATCTACACACAGATGTAATAAACTCAGCTCTTCCCAGTTAGCTGCTAAATCTATCCCCAATTTTAGTCTCTGTTCAATGGAATAAACTTTTCTTTTTCCTCACAAAAGCCTGTCTCTGAGCAAGTGGTTTCACGTGTGCCATTTATATTTCTTCCCCCTCCCACCCCGCCCCGTACTGGAGATCGAACTCAGGACCTTGCACTTGCCAGGCAGGCTCGGTGCCACTGAGCTACATTCCCCGCCCATGTGCTGTTTATAATATTTTGGTGCCATGACTCATAGGATACTTTCTGTGGAGAGTTTTACATCCTATCTACAATGCTGCTGAAGCCCCTCTACAACACAGGTCTCAGGATTTTGCTTCAGTGCTCCAGGCAAGCTGCTCAGCCCCATTCCACAGCTTTACACCAAGTAAGGCTTTTTTTTCCTCTACACCCTAGCCACCTCCATCCTGTTTTTCCACTCCCGTACCTTTTTATGGTCTCTTCGGCTTTAAGATCTCACTTAGGCTAGGCATAACAATAATCTTTTTTTTTTTCATTTTTTTTGAAATAGGGTCTTGGTATGCAGTTCAGGCTGTCCTTGAACTCACTATGTAGCCTAAGCAGGCCAGGAACTCATGTTGGTCCTCCTGCCTCAGCCTCCCAAGTGCTGGGATTACAGGCATTAGCACCATGCCCATCAACTATAATCTATTTAAAATGATGCTGATTATCTTGATAATAATCTCCCTTTCTATTGGTTTATAAGATCTGTCAGGGCAGATCTGGTCACCCTGAGTCCCTAGCATGTAGACCAGGACATTAACTCAGCACACAATAAAGTTAGCAATGTCCAGCCAACCCAGCACAGTGCTGGCTTCAGACAGGGGCTCAAAAATCAACCTTCCCTGTCCCTTGTCGCTGTGAGAATCTTCCATCTGTCTTGGTGTCCTGGTGTGGAAAATAGGTTCATTCCCCAGCAGGGAGGCACCGGGGCTGAGATCCCATGGGCTCTGAGACACAAGCCAGCGAGGCCCTGGGGGTTGGGTCCCTGGTGTTCTACACCAGGGAAACTGGATTCTCACTGTCTGTCTCCAATTTTGCCTGGGAAGTTACTTTTTGAGGGAAGACATCAAGACCTAAAAGGAATTTCCAGGAAAGCCTCCTGGAGACTCAGGTGGAAGCCCTGCTTGAGGACCCACCCTCTCAGTCTCCACTGTGTTCATTCTATTTATGGAGCACCTAAACATTTTATGTGTGTGCAGTTATTTAATTCTCCCAGTGGGCCTGTGAGGTAAATACTGCCATGAGTCCATTTTATATGGAAGGAAACTGAGGCAGGGTTGGAAGTGGCTTTCTTGAGGCAGCACGGTGGATGGGAGCTGAGAAGGGGTGCACGCCTTGGCAAGGTGGTTCTAGGATGCCTGCTTGTAACCAGCAGGCCACACAGCCTCTCTCTGAGTACTCCCGTCCTCAGCCCCCGCCCCCCGCCCCCTGCCTGGATTCTTCTGGGCCCAGAAGTAGCCAATTATTATTATTTTTTCTCCATATTGGGGTAAAACTCATGTTCTCTGTGAACCCGGAGAACCACGACCCAGGAACGTCGCTGTTTTTCTTTTTTTCTCCAACACCAGCCTGAGAAAGATGAACGTTTTTCCCAAGTCTTGGTCAGGGAAACTGGAGCTCAGAAAAGCAAAATGTTTTTCCAAGGTGATAGGGAGGGTCAGCATCTGCCCTCAAGCTCGGTTTTCAGTCCCTTCCTCGAGACCACACTCCCTGGGGTGCCCTGTGGGCTAGTGCAGGGTGGGGAGCAGGCAGCAGGGGGCGGCAAGGTGGGGCGGGGCGCGGTGCTGGGGCGGCCAGGGGCGGGGCAAGGGGATGGCGCAATCCCCGGCCAGCGGGCGTCAGACAGCGGACTGTTAGCTAAGGGTTACATCACCCGGCCGGACCCGGAGCGGGGCACACTGCGATCCCGAGTCACTCGAGGTTCCTACGGCTCAGCACACTTTCTCGCCAGGGGCTGGACTGCGAGATTGGCCTCAGCGCAGCGGGCAGGTGTCACCTGCGGGGACAAGGTACCCGGCCTAGGCGGCGGAGGGAGCTGGCGGGCTGCAGGGGGCGTCCGGGCAGGGGGTGGAGCGCGTCTGCGCGATCTGTGTATCACACGCGCCCACACACACGTACGCCCACAACTTTGAACAAACTGCCGTCCCGGGCGCTCGGGCCGAAAGCTCCCTGGGTTGCAGGGGCCTTGGGTGCGCACCTGCAGGGCGCGACTGCCAAGTACCCGAAGCGGGGGAAACCCGGGGCGGAAGTGTGCGACCGTCACCCCAGGAGTGTGCTGTCTGTGTTTTGTGTGTGGGGCCGGAGCCCCGTGGTTAGGCGGGGGAGGCTGTGTGAGGGACCCGCGGGGGCACTGCAGGGTTGCACGGGGTGTGTGTATTTGTGGGGCTGTCAGGGGCCTGCGGGGGAGAAGCCGGGGTAAGGGGGTTTTGGGGGCTTGAGTCCCTGCGGATGGGGACGGCTGAGGGGACGGCTGAGCACGTAGTGGCAGAGCTGGGTAAGTAAATGGGGGGGGGGGGTCGCCGCGGGGACAGGGCCAGAGTGCACTGGGAGCGGGCAGCAGAAACCCGGGTGACAGAGGTGCAGAGCCCAGCTCCGCCCCCACTCGCCTCGGGGCCCCGCCTCCTGCGCTCTGCCCTCTCCCAGACCTGCCCGCCGCCGTCCTCTGTCACTTTTCTCGGAACCTTCTGAACTCCAGACACCCGCTGCCGCTGCTTCTGCTCCCACGGGAGGGCCTGGCTGCGAGGGGGCGGGGCAGGGTCCCGGGACATGGCTGTGTGCACACGCGTGCTACCGCTCTTGCCCCTGGAGGGTCAGGTGTGTGACCCTTGATGTGTGCGCTCCCTCTGCCCTGGATCTGTGTGGGGGGGGCTTGGATGAAGTGTGTTTTTGAAGCACGTGCGTACACCTATGTGCCCTGGGTGGTGGAGTGTATTTGGTGTCACCTGCCTTCATCCCCCCTGCCCAGCGTATTGGGGCGAACAGCAGCAGGTAGATGGTAGAGGCTGCCCCCCTTCTGCAAAGGAGGCCCTGGATCTGCAGCATGGTTGCAAAGGCCTTGCTCACTCCAGTCTTACCAGGAGTGTAGCTCAGTGTTTCCTGAGTTCAATCACCTGTACAAATAAAAGCTCTCCGTGCAGGTTGTACCATCCATTGCCCACTAGCAATATTGTCAGTGCTGCAGTGCTGTGTAGTAGCCCCACTGTAACCCACGTTTCACACTATCACCAGGACACAACATGTCTAAAATTAAACTTAACAAATTTCCTTTTTCTGTGAATACTCCTTGGAGCTCAGTCCACATCAGTACCTGGAGAGCCCACTGATGCTTCTTTACAACCATATAATATTTCACCCCATGGCTGTCTTGCCAGGGTTTAGCCAGCTTTCTACTGACTGACACTTGGAGTATTTCCTGCCTCTTGCTGTTAGACACAAAGCTCTGATAAACAGCCTTTCACATACTTAATTTTTTGTGAGCAGTTTAGCTGGAGGCTAACTTCTCAGAAGTGAGACACTGGTCAAGGGCTGGGCTTGTTATGTCAGCACACACTGGCAGATTACCTTCATGAAGTCTGTGCCAGTGTACCCATCCAGCTGGGAAGAGAGGGGCCACCAAACAGGCTGCCCTAGTGCCATTCTTCCCTTCTTTCTAGATTCGAGCCACCTCTCTGCCTGCTCCTGTGGGTGCTCCCTCCACGAAGAAGACGATGGAGTCAGTGGCCGACTTGGACCCTGAGTGGCCCATTGAGAAACGAGCTCGAAGTGGGCCCCAGCCCAGGCCAGTGCCCTGCCTGCTGACTCTGAGCCCACCCCCGGCTCTAGCCCATGTACCTGCCATGGCCCCTGTCTCCCAGCACCTTGGGCCCTACGTCCTCCTGGAGCCCAAGGAGGATGGGAGGGCCTACCGGGCCCTGCACCGCCCCACAGGCACTGAGTACACCTGCAAGGTACATCCCCAGGCCTGGGAGGGGTCCAGGCTCCAGAGTCACCATCAGGACTTGGAGGGCCCCTAGGTTCATTTATTCTTGTGTTTACTGGGGAAGCAGCCAGTGGCTGGGCTGAGACCATAGAGGTACAGCAGAGCTGGTGTGGCACTGGGGCATTCACAGCATGGGCCCCACAGTGGGCTAAACGCTGCAGGGTGGAGCTTAGTGCCCAAGAGGAGAACAGAGGAGATGCCTCCCTCATCAGCGTTCAGGGGGTATTAGCCAGGGCTGGGTAGGAGCTGGCCAGCTGTAGGAAGAGAGGCCCAGGCAGGGGAAAGCTGTGTAAAGACTGGGGCCTGGGCCCATGCACTTCAGAGGATGAAAAGCATCTGCTCTGGCCAGAGAGGAGAGGATGTGCAGAACCAGGCCATGAAGAGGGTAAGCACTAGGAGGAGTGGAGAATGGTGGTGCAGGCCTATAAATCCCAGCAGTCTCAGAGGATGAGGCAGAGGGATTGCCAAGTTCCAGCCCAGCCTAGGTAATTTAGCAATCCACAGTAGCAAAAGCAAAAGTCAACAAAAAAAGTGGTGGCTGCACTTGTCTACAAGCCCACCTGGGGTCCCCGCCCCTCTGCACTTACACTGCTTCCTGCTCCCTCCCACAGGTGTACCCGGCATCCGAAGCCCAGGCAGTGCTGGAGCCCTACTCGAGGCTGCCCCCCCACGATCACGTGGCTCGGCCCGCGCAGGTCCTGCTGGGCACCGAGCTCCTCTACGCCTTCTTCTGTCGGACTCACGGGGACATGCACAGCCTGGTCCGCAGCCGAGGCCGCGTCCCTGAGCCAGAGGCTGCCCTGCTTTTCCGTCAGATGGCCGCTGCTCTGGCGCACTGCCACCAGCATGGTCTGGTCCTGCGTGATCTCAAACTTCGGCGCTTCGTCTTCACCAACCGTGAGAGGTGAATGTGGCTGTAGAGGCCCAGAGACACACCCAAGGGGTGGACCGTGATGGGGAAACTGAGGCCCAGGAAAGTACAGTAACTTAGGCAAGAAACGGAGAAGCCTGGGCTAGGAGGGGTAGCTCAGGGTAGAGCACGCGGGAGGCCTTGGGTTCCATACACAGCACCAGCAATTTAAAAAAAAATAAGACCCCTAGCCTGGCACCCACTCCCTGTTTCCCTAGGAAAAGTCAGATAGAGCGAGCGCTTGGCCAACCTGCTCTAAACCCTGAGCTCCATTCCAGCGCTGGGGGTGGGGGGAACCTGTAGCAGGGAGAGGTCCTCAGCCCATCACAGCAGGAGAGAGACGAATTCCTCAGTGTGACTTTAACCTTGACCACTGGTGAAAGGGGCATCTAGGTTTTTGCAGTGGGTAAAGTTCCTCCTGTGTCTTTTCTAACTAATAAGCACCTTGGGGGCTGTGAATATAATCAAACTTTCAGCCACTATTTTCACAGCTGTCCATCTTGCCTGGAGCAATTGACACTGTGATGTTTGCCTAAGGCTGATGTTTGGTTTCCTTTCTTCTTTCTTTCTTTCTTTTTTTTTTCCATTAAGTTTATTGGTACATTTTAGGTATACATTATGATCACATTCAACATTGGGTATTTACCTGTACATGATATATCTTGGTTCTTGTTTTTTTCCCATTCCTCTTTACTCCCTTCCACCCCTCCACCCCTCCCTATTTACAAAAATTTTGTTTCCGTTTTTTCCTTCTTTTCTCATATTTTTTTCTTTCCCTTCTTTCCTTACCTCCACCCCTCCTTTCTACTTCCCCTTCCCCTTTGGTCCTTTTCTTCCTATTTTACATCATCATTATACGTTTTTCTGTCTATGTTTTTTGTCAAAATAAACACACCTTTGAGTAAGAAATAGAATGGTGCTAGGGATCCAACCTAGGGATGACTTTTTTTTTCTGGTACTGGGGATCAAACTCAGGACCTTGCCAGGAGTGGCAACACTGAGCTACATCCCCAGCACCTAGGGATGACTTTTAAGCTGGTATATAACCTCAAAGAGATTTCTCCTCCTTCTCCTTCTCCTTCTCCTCCTCCTCCTCCTTCTTTTTTTTTTTCTTCCTGGAGATTAAGAGTAGGGAAATTTATTGGGGAATAGTAATAGAGAATAGCAATAGCTCCTGAGAGTCAGGAGGGGTCCGAAATAGGTTGGACTCTTCTTTTTTTGTTTTGTTTTATTTTTTGTTTTTGACGTGGTCTTACTATGTAGTCCAGGCTGGCCTTCAACTCACTAAATAACCCAGGCTGGCCTCAAACTCCTCCTGCCTCAGCCTTCTGAATACTAGGTTATATACCCATACCATCATGCCCAGCTCAAATGGATTTCATACTTAGAGCAAGCATAGCTGCCCCAGACCTTCTGGAGGAAAATGACCCCTTCTCTTTCCAAGGCAATAGTTTGAGAACAGGTGGCAGAAGGGGGACTGCAGACCCAGACAGATCTGGATTTAAATCCCAATGCTGTTTCTTGGTTGCTTTTTGGCCTTGAGCATTGGCTTCCTCTGCCCAAGTCTTCTTTTCTCCATCTGTAAAATGGGCCAATAATGCTGACTTCTGACTCCTGTCACCCACCTCCATCCCAGGCTGAGTCACAGGATCAGTCAGAACATGAGCCCAAGAGGTACCCAGGAAGTGATGCCCTAAGGACAATTAGTGGTGGCAGTTAAAAAACAATTGCTATTAATGTACTCTAGAGTGTTCTGGGGCATCACATAAAGTAGAAGTTGTGAGGCTGGGATGATGGTTCAGGGGTAGAGCAGGTGACTAGGGCACATGAGACCCTGGTTCAACCCCTGCACTGCAAAAAACAAAACAAAGTGGAACTTGCAAATTATAGGCTCCTCTTTTTTTTTCTTTTGGCCCTGCATACATGTTTGTTTGTTTTTAACTGAACTTTGTTGCAAATATTTCTAAAACTGTGGCCTTTTTAAAAGTTAAAATATGGGGCCAGGGATTTAGCTCAGTGGTTCTGCCACCTGCCTTGTAAATGCGAGGTCCCGAATTTGATCCCTGGCACCAAAAAATAAAAATAAAATTAAATTAAAATTAAAATATGATTTCTGGGGCTGTGAGGGTAGCTTGGTGGTAAAGCGCTGGCCTAGCATATGTAAGGCCCTGGGTTTGATCCCTAGTACCACAGAATTTTTTTTTTTTTTTTTT